AATACTTGTATGCTGTGGGACACGTTATCGCTGCGTGCGTCATCGTATGCCCGCATGTCTGCTCGCCAGGATTGGGAGGTGCGCCGTTCAACTCTGTGTGAAGCGACCGTACAACAGTGACCAATCATTAACCTCTGTTTAACCTAATCCCCCATCCTGATCATGAGTAGCTCCCTGCGTAGGCACTTTATCCGCAACATACCCACTGAATAAACGTGCTCCGTGCTGTACGTCTTTTTCCTTTATAGCTGGGCTATAGCTTAGCTGGTTCTGGGAGTCTAGCTAGATGTAGGAGAATATGCCATAGAGATTTCTGAGTCAGTCAGGCTTTACTAAAGTAGCAATCCGCTACAATGCAACTAATCACTCACACAATCTAATGAGCGGAAGAGGAGAAAGAAGCGGAATCTGTTTTTTTTCGAATTTCACAACTCTATTCAGGTGTTTCGCTTCTTCCCGGTATTTTTTAAAACTATGCCCGAAAAGAAGGTAATTGAAGCGCTCTCTTCGTTTAAAGGACTTAGAATTTAGACTAACGGTGAGATCCTCCATTTGTGAAATTCCCTATAAAAGTGTCAATATTAAGTTTCACTGTTTTAGTGTCCATTGTTATAAGATTCATTTTCATTAACTTAGTATATGAAGTTGAAGGCCTATACATTGATTTCAACCTCAAAGTAGGCAGTGAATCCTTAGGAAGAATAAGGGAATGATTTGAAAATATTTCGAGGATTATTATAGTTATCATGGAATATAAAGGCCTAGAAGGTGGTCATACCTTCTCTATTACAACCATAACGTGCTTGTGCATACTCATGCAATCATATTAAAGTGGTAATTAGATTAGTTAAGCATCAACACGTGTTGATCTCCCTATCATGCTCTATTTAACGTTATATGCATTTAGGCATAGATGTTTCAATTTAAGAGTATAAGTCAGCCTCAAATTAATATAAGTCTTGACCATTCCTAAATAACCTCAAATTTTGCGGAGTTTTTCAATGCAATATAACTAGATTATTAACTTAGCTCCTTCCAAAATGCTTAAACTTAATAAAAAGGAGTAATTTCGAATAAAAATTAGCCTCATTAAATTCGACTAAGTGGTTGAGATAATGGTCATAAAACACATTTTTAAAGATCCTTGATCTAATTGTGAATATTTCGCACTCTACATGTCACACCTCTCCAATGGTCTAGAGACGTAGTTGCTCAAAATTTAATTATCTTACGTGATCTCGCCCTGATGTATATCGCTTTCAATATTGATTGGTACTCTAGGACTGACTAACGACTCCTTTTGAATTCCGTTGAGGCAACGAGCTCTTGGAGAACTGAAATAATTAATAAAAGAAAGATCCAAATTTGTATTTATTGTGCAAAAAAACGAAAGAGTTTGTAAAATAATTATCTTAAAAAATTACCCGAGACAATCATTCTTTGAAGCAAAATAGTTGTCTCGAATTGTGTTCACTGAAACACCACCGGCTTTCAAATCGGACCTTAAAGAAAAATTTAAAAATTATTGGAATAAAATTCCAGTTCAATTGTTATTCAACTTAAATCCTGTTTTAAAGAAAAGATAAGGACTATATAAATTATGAAATTTCGAGTCTCGTTGTGAAATCTTCGTGAAAAGAATATTTTTTGACTCGTCAAGAATTTTAGCCTGTTAACGAGCCCTTAGTCTTCTAATTATGTTAATTCTCTTTTAGCATGAATTCTGCTTCACTGAATGCTTGACAAATAGGTCATAAATTGCAAGATTCGGTGAAGTCTAGCGAGAGCTATATTGTGTTGAAAAGATCATTCCACCAAATCATTCCATCATACTGACTCTGGACTAACCGAATTGTCAGGTTACATCATTTATTTATTTTTCATCCCTCTTTTTATTGTTTTTGCCCTTTTAATAGTTTTTATATGCTAATTTAAATAATTTATATGAATTTTATTTAAATCTTGTTTCAAGGCAATTAGAATAGGAGGCTTTCAATTACACGTAAAGAAAACACCAACTTCATAATCTACGACAAATAATTAGGCCATCACTATTACGCCCTATTCCAATCGAATCCCTTTATTCACGGAGTTCTAAATTTCTCCTATGCTAAGGAATTATCAAACTGGGGATTAAGACTCACAAATATTCGGCAGGTTCCACAGTAACTGCCTTTGTATGAAGAAGTTCAAAAGATTTTCTTCCAGCGCTAACAGTTTCCCCTTTATTTAAATCCCATATTGACGATGGTTTCGACACTGCATTTCCGTTTTTTCCATCGCTGAAGCAAAATACGATATTTATATTTAATATGTGTTTCCAGGTGCTCCAAATGAAGTCAACATAAGCGGGAATATTTCTCTCAATAATTAAGACTAATTAGTTTGCTTAAGTGGAATAGCCCCAAAGGAGACGATAAAATGCGGTTATGTTATCAATAACTTACGGCGTTGAAGTTGATTTGAGAGATAAGGTTGCGGTTTTATTAAACGGGGGAGATGAATTTTTATTTACTGGCATTGTTGAATATTTGTTTAGTGATTGGATCCGTTGAAATTGGGATGAATGGTATAAAGGTGTATTTGCACTCGGAGATATAATTAGGGGTTTTTCTTTCGTCACAGGATATCTAAAATAGCGAATTTTCACAGGGTTTTGTAGATAAAGTACTAAAAATATTAGCATTCAACAGTTGTCTTAGAAATGAGTTAAAAATAATTAAATGGCAGATAAATGTGAATCGTACCCCGTTGTTTCTCCTTCCTTCGTTGTTTGATGACTAAGTTACGAAAAAAATATAAACATACAACCCTGATTATACTTGTCACTTATTTCATCATGATTATTTAAAATTGGAAAAGGTTGAAATTCGATTGCTAAATCAGAAAAAATTATAGTCTCAAAGACAAAAATTCTCTAAATCTATTTTAGCAGCTTCACAAAGAAAATTAAGTTAAGTAGTTTTCAAAAAAATTAATAAAACAAATTGAACCTGTTTTGTGGTGAAAATTGCTTTGGCGTTTTCGCTACAGTAGGAACTTGCTTTTGAGAAATTGTATCTCCACTTGGAGAAATCGATTCCCTTTTAAAAAAATGTCATAGTGAAGAAATAAATTTAAAGTAATTGTGAGAGAAGATTTTAATAAACAAACGGGAAATTCTTGCTGGAAATTGTAGGATCATAATACTTGTTAAAATTCGATTGGTAATCATTTGAGCGACCGTTTGTATATAACCTAAATAAAAAACTGTTTTAACCCATTACAAACCATTAAAGGTAAATATTTTTGTTTAAATAATCTAAAACTTGCTTTGGGAAATCATTCCCACCAAAAGCTAATTTCTGCATTCCATCTGGAATATGTGCTTCAGAGCTCATCTCAATTATATGCTATATTAAAAGTTAAAATTCGAGGAATCGACAACCTTTTTAATGAGGTCGGTTTTTTCATCATCGCTAACACTTCTTAATGTATATATATCAAAGTCCTCATTTCGATTATCGGCATCCTTAAGAAGTACCATAAGTTGTCTAAAAGCAGCGTATGAAGCGCTTGTAGGTACGTCTTCAATTAAGTGCAGCGCTGTTTTTAGCAAAGTTACAACACGGTCTTCGAGCTAAAAATATGAAAAATATGGAATAGAATGATTAATATAATAGAGGTATTTTACCCGTTGTTGATTGGCACTTTGCGAAATTTCAGACCAATTTCTAACTCGAACAAGAACATCTTTCAGCATTTCAAGTTCCCTTGATTTCAAAATTATAAATTGAGATTGAATATTCGCCATAGCTAAGTTATCCGCTTTAATAGCCTAAAACTATTGCATTTAAAAGCTCGTACCCATTTGAGAAGATTAGTTTTAAAGGAAACGGCATTTTCATCCTCGACTATTACATGTTCTAATTGCTTTATGAAGAATGGAAGAGTTGAACTTTTTTTGCTAGTTTCAGTTGGCGAGTGGTCAAAATCATTTGCAATTGCGTTGGTTTTCATAGCCATTTCACTTTAATATTGTAGGTATATAACTCGCCAATGCAATAAAATTCTCAAGGAGAAATTGTTGAAGTACCACAAACTTTTCAAGGTTGATAAATTTGTGAAACGAAACAAACTACTTAAAATATTTAAAATTATATTGTTTATAATGTTAAAGCTGATAGAATTGCATTGTATTTTGTTTAATTTTTATTATAATATTACATTTGAATCTCGTAAATGATATTTGTTAAAGAAAATTGAATAAAATCGATCGCATTTCATTCATTCGAATCTGTAACGGTAATCTTTAGCAAAAATAATCTAATGTTCTTCAGTTAAATGATAATCAATTTAGATATATAATATTTAGCCCTATTGAGCCTTCCTAGATAATTTTTACAATTTCTTTATCTAGACAGTTTACCATTTAGTAGCGGATTGCTGCACTGTTATGCCCTAACTGTACTCAGAAATCTCCATTGTGAAACCTCTAAGTTGATAAGGTTCTCAGACTTGAACTTTTCATAATGATAATGAGGAGGAAGACGTGCTGTAAATGAAACGTTCATTGAAAATTATGATTTCAACAAAGGATGTGCGATAGACTTGCCTCCATATGGTGCACCCTGAGCAACGTATACTCATATGACAAAAAGTCTATTAACCGGCAGTTGACTTCTGACTTCAAACTACCATGACCCCATTGTATGTCAAATTTGATCACTTCCAAATTACTCATCTTACATTTTCTCTGCCTTTGCGTGTCTGTCTCTTTTACAACTGTGAATCATTATTTTGTCCCCTCTCTCGACTATTTGCCACTTTGAAGTTCCTCCTGCTCTCTGTGAAGCCCGCATTTGGCTAAAAGACTAATGATAACTATTATAATCCCTGTCATTTGAAATAAATATATGAATAATATCAACAAACATAGATATCTTATACATTTGGCATAATTTGAATAAACGTCTATAATTGACTGTCTGAGCGGTGCTTTGTATGCAAGGCCTCACTC